TAAGATTTTGTGTTTTTTTTATTTATTTGAGCAATATAACATAATTAATTTTCTTTAGCACTTTTAAAATGTTTGGCAGTAATATTTTTATGTGTTATTATAACATTTTAATAAATCAAAGATAAAATTAGCAAATGAAACACAAGTTGAAATTGCTTTTATTTACTTTTGGAACTTATTTTTAAAAGTACCATTTATTTATTTATAGGAATTCACAACAGTACACTTATTATGTTAAATTTAAAATGACGGACACTTCTACGGTATATTTTTGTTTTGTTGATTTAATTCAAAAGAGCAGAGCAGCAGCTGTGCTTTTATTGCCATCTAACGGCTAAGCACAAAACATTACTTTCAAGCAGTTGACATATACATTGCATAGATGTCGCTAGTGTTCATCTTTACTAAAGTATTGTTGCACTGTCCTTCTGGTGGACAAGTTAAGTTGGGCGAGCTTCGTATGTACGGCGTCGAGTCCGTCGTTCTACCGGGGCCTCGAGTCTGCATTCAGAATCGTGTAGGAATGACAACATGTTGAAAATAGTAGACTCGGGCCCCGGGTTCTGTCCTGTGGAACAGTGGAACATCGGATTCGACTGACTCTTGCGGGGCGAATTCGAATTTGTTTGAGGCAGAAGAATTAGAAACACTAATTAATATCTAATTCTTCAACATATATTTACATTTTCGACCGTAACATAGATTCTGCGAAGCCAATCGAATGACACGTGAATGTGTAATCGTATGGAAACGTGCAAGGCAGTGAGGTAAGAAGTACACGAGCGTGTGCGCTACCCCATAGATTATACACTATAACTGAAATAGATACGCAACTCAATGGTCTGTCTAAGTCGAGCGAGATTTGAGCTCCCAAGCAAAAGATGGCGCTGTTTATTTTTTAGTTCTTAAAAAATCCAACAGATGCCACCACTTATGCCCTTTTCGAATGTAATATAAAATTATCGTTTTAAAACTTGTAAATGAAACTAGCAAAATTGTTTATCTGCATTTATTTTTCTCATCACGAAACAATAACCAGAAAACAAATTAACTTAAAATAAAATATAAGTTAGGTTTTATGAAATATTTTGTAATAGTTACCTATTAGTTAGATCTGTACCATTATATCTATGGACGGAAGGATAGTGGAGACTTGGTAAGTAATAGGGTATTTACCCATTACAGATATACCCATAAAAATGAGACGATAAATAACAAATTTTATGTATACTTCGATTTTGTTCTATTGCTACAGGCTGTTTTTTATCAACACAGCACGCGGGCGAAGCCGCTGGGACAAGCTAGCTATAAAATAAAAGTATAAGGAGATTTGAAAAAAAGCGCGATAACAAAATATCCTTTTTGTAAATGAAATTAAATACAAGTAATGTAGAATGAGTATAAAAACTATGAGATACAATAAAAAAAAACCGTGACGTCCATTCGTTTTACAAATCAAGTCATGGAATCAACACAACCGACTTTAAATGAAACTTGGCAAACTAACACAATACAAAAAGGATTTTTATATAGAAAATGTTAATTAAAATCAATAAAGTTTTGCTTACAATTCTGTACACTGTATTGGAAAAATATATCTCTCATTTTTATGAAAATTGTATCTGTCTTTGCCTCCCTCAAATCTTTTTAGAAAATAATATTGAGGTTACTATCAAGATTCTTCGTAAAATCAGATTGTCAGCACCAGCAGTGTCATTGATTTTTATTTCTTTTAAATTTTTTTTTATATATTTCGCATGCTTGTTGTTTTATTTGGTCATTCTTATCAAATTTTGTTATTTTACCTGATAAAATTCTATTCACCCCGGTACACCAACTGTGTATGATTAATTTTATTGAAAGATCATTAATGAACTCAATCAGTACCTCCTTATGTTGATCACAAGTTATTACATTATAATCACATGCACAATTTATCATATACTTAATTTTTTTATTCAGTAGACATGATTCAGGATAATCACGTAAGCATGCAACAATAGCGTGATAAATATCATTCATCAAACTTGTAAATTTTTCACTTGGATGAAACAATGATTTTTTTGTATAATCAACTTCGTAATTGAATGATTGAACATCAACATCATATCTACAGAAATCATTCATGCAAATCACACAATTTTTAAAAATTTTCGATTTAATTTTTTTAACTATGTATCCTGTAACATACTTTTTAGATTCACTATGTATCAAAGAATCATTATTTTTTATTTCCAGCATCGTTTTTAATAATGTATCTATTTCACATGCAAAATTATCAAGGTCCAAATCAGCAGGCTTTTTATTAAGTAAATTTACAATGGATTGAAATGGTTTACTATTATCATTTTCACAATTAGCTCTTACAGAATGAACAGAATTGAAATTATTAATCAACAAAGTTTTATAAGCATTCATAAATTGATCACAATTGGGATTTACATTACGAATACCATTGCTCCTTATACTACTAAAAAAATTTTCCAGTGGATCTTGATTAAAATTTCTTGTTAATACATTCCTTAATTTATATTTTACATGCAAGTATTGCCACATTTCTTTAAAGGTTTTAATATTATGTATCCAATTTTTGATCGAAGGAATTGTTTCATGCTTAATCAACTCACAATTATTTCGTTTGATTATTGATTCCAAAATCGGCAATAATTCATTCCACAATTGGAAATGAGGTGAATTACTTTTTAAGCATTGCTTGTATTTTTTTGGTGAACCTTGATAAGAATGACCATTAAAAGAATCAAATAGCTTATCAAAAATTAAAATGAAGTCTGCTGTTCCTTCACATTCTTGAGGTAGAATGTTGTGTTCTGAAACAAAATATAAAGATTAATATTATTAATATAAAGTATGTTTCCAAATATACACTATATAATGATACTACACCCCAAAGAGTTATATTATCTTTCTCTACCAGGTGATGCAGAGAATGTTACAAGCGAGTGAGAATGTTACGTGTTAAATCACACAAAGCTTAGTATATTTTTAAGTAATTTCAATAAAAAAGACATGTATTTTATATTTTACATAAATATTAAATTTCGACTTACAATTTTATCATTAAATTATAAATACCGACATATATATATATACACTTACTTGACAAAAATCGCAATGCGCTCGAAACTCTCTGGCTGAATACTTGAGCTGCGTACTTCACTTTCATTTTAGGGATCTTTTCTTTTACAACGTGCATTTCAGTCAATTTATTAACCAACCTAATTTCGTCATCTCCAATATCTACATCTAATAACATTTTCAAATGCTCCCACTTAGCCCATTTTGTTATACCATTATGTATAAATGTTGCGTTTTTTGAAATTAAATTATTTCTTACTCCTTTAAGTAGGTGCGGAGTGTCATAAAGAGGAAATATTTTACAATTGGCAATTTCAACTGCATTTGAGTAGCAAATTTCTCCTCTTCTTAAATATTTTTCTTGTGTTTCTTTTTGCAGCTCCTGCACTACTCGGACGTTAGTTGCGGCTTGGTCACAGATAGTGGCCACTACTTTTAGCCCAGTGGAGTTAACTTCTTCTATAACATTTACTAATATTTTTTTTAAATCATTAGCTTTTGTAGCTCCTTTACAAAAGGTAAAACAAATGGGTTGTTTACTTTTGTTTTTTATCCCTTTGATCATAAATACTAGTGCATGATCAGCCAGAGTTTTTCTTCTTTGGTAGCCTAAATCGACAAAACCAATTATTTTTCCCAATGAGGATATGTATTGTAGTCCCGGCGCTAGAGAAACCTCATCGAACAGTACGTTGACGAGTTTTTTTTCCTCTGGCAAATTTTCGGCAACATTTTTTAAGTCGATCAAAATGTCTCTATTTATGCCAGGTTGCAAGCTGCACGTGTTCAACATCATCTGCAAGCAACGTTTTGATGGCAAAACAAACATTTTTTTTAATAATGCGTATGCCTTTGGACTTTGCTTCAAAATCGTCAATGCCATTATTTTTTCATGTGTAGTATATCGTCTTCCCTTCGATTTTTTTGTACTTTTCAGCTGCAGTTTTGTGAATGTTTGAACTTCTTCGGGTAACTTTTCAATCATTTTTAAAAATGCTTTGTTCATGCTTATTTTCTGGGCTGCTTGAATTTTTTTGGTAACATTTTTACATTTCGCTGACATTTTCTTTAATTTATTTTTCAATTTATTTATTAACTTATCATCACCAGTATAATTTTTGGTCGGGTGACAGCATTTTCGCCCTGAAAAAATTAAAATGGTGTCAGAAGTTGGTGTAAGAAATTATAATTACTTAATTGATATAATAGCTTTTACTTTAAATTGGGATAGATCCCTATCAACGTATTATTATAAAATTTGGAATCTTTCATTTGACAAAAAAAATACATAGACTTGGAACGATTCTAAATTTCTTATTATCCCTTACATAGCATTAGTATATAATAATTTATATGTTATACATAATAAACTGTATAGTATATATTAGTATTTTTTGGGAATATATATTATACAGTATATATTCCTAAAAAAATATATTTTCATATATGAAAATTAAATTTTTATGGACCTTTGATCATAACCCTTATATATATTTTAATCTATAAGTCCTAATCTATACTTATGTTATAAAGAGATAAAATTTGTAAGTTTGTATTTAGGGGGTAATTTTTGGAACCACTGATCGGATTCCCAAAATTCTTTCTCTTATTGCTAGCTACAATGTTCCTGAGTGCTATAGGCTATAACATATCACGCTATAATCAAATGGAACCGAGCAGCGAGTGAAACCGAACGGGAGTAGTTAGTTATTTACAAAGTTATTATAAGTACATTGACAACCTTGCATATTTTGATCTACGAATTACAAAATTCACAAAACTTTTGGCAGGTGGAATAGGTAGTTGTTTATAAGTTAATATATATAATGTATTATAGTAATATTTCATGAGCATCCGGTAATCAGTGTAGTCATATTATGCCAAGCTATCATACAAAAAGTTAATCAATAGTACAAAAACAGTTCACCTGCAATGCTAGATGATGAAGGTTGTTCACTGTCAGGGATAGGTGTTGTACCTTCCAGCTGATGTTCTGAAAATAGATATAACAATACATGTAATTTAAAGTCACTCACTCAATATAGGAATGAAATTCAAATATTTATGAGAATTTTCAACAGTTTTTTAAATTATCACGGACATTGTGTGTCTTTCATAATGACATCCATTTTTTTCATGATGAAATAATTCTTGTAATGCTAACTTAGATTACATTCAAACAAGACACACCATCAACAGCAAAAATTAAAATTGCATATTTTCAATAAGTCTTGTGTTATGATTACTATTTGTTTCACATCATCATCAGCCTATTTTTATTTTTAAATATTTCGCCACTGATTTCAGGCCTCAACGCCCATATAAAAATATCCAATATCATACATGTAAACAAATGTAAACCTTATAAATACTAAAAATATATATTATGTAATTATATTTATAATTTTCCATTTCTTTTTAAGTATGTAATAGATAGTTGTTTATAAGTTGGTAATGTAAGTAACAGTCCTGCAAAGTTGTAAGCGTGTTTAATATATATAATGTATTAAAGTCATATTTCATGAGCATCGGGTAATCAGTGTAGTCATATTATGCCAAGCTATCATACAAAAAGTTAATCAATAGCACAAAAAAAGTTAACTCACCTGCAATGCTAGATGTTGAAGGTTGTTCACTATCAGGAATAGGTGTAGTAACATCCAGCTCATATTGTTCTGAAAATAGATATAACAATACATGTAATTTAAAATAACTCACTCAATATGGGAATGAAATTCATATCTTGTTGAGAATTGTTAACAGTTTTGTAAATTATCAGGGACATTGTGTATCTTTCATGATGTTCTCCATTTTATTAATAATGAAATAAATCTTGTAAAGCTAACTAAGATTATATTAAAGATAGAAACACCAACAACAAAAAAAATTGCATATTTTCAATAAGTCTTGTGTTATGATTACTATCGGTTACATCATTATCAGCCTATTTTTATTTTTTTATAATTTATAATTTCTCCACTTATCACATGCGTCAAGGCCCATATAAATATATGCAATACTGTACATGTAAACAAATGTAAAACTTATAAGTATATTATAAGCTATGCCCTACAAAACCGTTGTAATGGTCCGACTGTGAGCTCAACAAGTCATCAAACAATACAATAAAATGAAATTATGTATAATTAATTACTCTATAGATATTGTAACTTTAAATATTTCTAAATAATGTAACTTTATATAAATAAGAGCATATTGCTAAGCAAACACTCTTCTCACATGGAGAAGGTTTGAGTATTAAACACCACACTTGCTCAAGGCGGATTGGTACTAATGTGGCTTTTTCAAAGTTATATGTACTTTCAAACTATATTAAGACGACCAAACGACGAAGGAAAAATGGACCAAATGTGGGCTTGTAATTTCTAATTTTGTCTCGTTTGTCACGTTTTTGGTGTCTTAATACAGTTTAAAAGTACATATAACTTACAAAAAGCCACATATGTACTGGCCAGGTTTGAACCAGCACTCTCTTGCATTAGAAACGATTACTATATACTATATTCAAAATAGGTGTTAAAATAATAATTATAATTATATAATAATTTACCATACCAACCTGAATTCTCTGGATTGATAACACTAGAATTCAGCTGTTCATTTTCAAGAATGAGTCGCGTAGATTGTCTTTCTGATTCTGGAAATTAAATAAAATAAATTCATAAACTATTGTTTGTTAAATTATGATTTTAGTCATCTACAAAGAAGCTGTTTAAGTAAAGTTAGTTGAAATTAAAGTGGTATCATATTATGTGAATAGATAAAACCACAAAGTTTCTTCTTTCTATTAATGTTACTTTAAATATATACATATAGTAAAACCTACCTAAATTTAAGGTGGGGACAGCATTTCTAGTCAAGCGACGGCTAGGTAGTTGGTAGCACTCCAGAAAGTGGTTGTTACACAATCTTACATTGGTATATATGTAAAAATTCCCTTTCTCCTGCGTTGCCACATCTAGCACTGATTTCCAAATTGAGAACCTTGCTACATCCTCCATATTGTGGCTTTCAGGATTTGGGAAATGATGCAATGGGCCTGAAAATGATGGAAATTGATTTTCGTGTTATCCAAAACTTAAACACATAACATATGTACAGTTTTAAAAAGTTACGGTCAGTGAAGACAGTTATTTAACAACTTACTATCAATGATGCACCCAAAAAAACATTTTACTCGGGATTTATAAGGCATGGTAATAAAAATCGTAAGCAGCCAGACACCAAAAATTTGCCAATGTCGTAGAGCCAGTTAACAATATCCAATTTCACAAAGCCAAGGGGTCACAGGTATGCTAGATTCTCACAGTCCGTTATAGAAAGCAAAGTAATCCAAGATTTCCACAAAAATACACAACACTAAAGCAATGAAACGTACCGAATAAAATAAAATTTGTAACGACAAACAATTTCAAAACTTTCAAGTTGATTACGATGTTGCCATAATATTTATCATAGATTATATAGTAATATACTAGAGATATTTATTAATAACATTTGGTTGTTTTGAGATATCAATATTGTATGATATTCATAAATACAATAAATTACATAATTTATTTAATTAAAATAAAAAATGAACGACTATTTATGTTATTTTTTGTTTTACAAAAAAAGTGTTTTTTTATACATTATTATAAATAAGTGGATACCTATCTTTTACTCCGTGGAAATACAAGTCACGCCATCTTTTGAGACTTAACGCAAAAAAGTTCAAAGTTACGCGATCCCAATCAGTAGATGTCGTTACTTTCTTTGAACATTTTACATTGGGAAATTCTAAGGAAGTTTCACGGCCCTGCGCTACCCGGCTGCAGTAAACACTTCTTTTCGACTAAACATTTCTCCACTCTGTCGCGCCGCTTGCTCGCTGCCCAATATAGGTACATCTCCCCTTTTCTCCGCTTGACCCATTTCCACCAAAGCTAAGCGGAGAAGAGACGTAGAAATCACGAAATCGGATTGTTATTCACACAGATTCCTCTTGTCTCCTCTCCTCTCCACTTTGGTGGATACCAGGTCGAGAAAAAAAAGTGTAAGAAAATATTTCCCTGTTTTTTTTTTGTTATAAGTAGCTAAGTAGTTATAAAACTTGAGATGTGCCATTCTACCATTCTACAGACTTTATTCTTCGATTTACGCTACTAAAGGTAGGTTTAGGGAATTCGAATGGGTGTAGGTAAGTAAATAAAATAACGGTTTTTTGCAGAATGTATTATTTGCTATATTTTGTGCTGCTAATTAAATTTATTTAGAACTACATTTCATACACTTAATACGTAGGTACATTAAAATGACTATCTGACTGACTTGCAACGGCTGAAAGGAAAAGTTTGAGAAACATTAAGAAATCACCCTGATTTCGAGCGAAACTGTAATTCTGTAAAGCGTTTAAAGTATAAACTTCAAAATATTGTGCGATTATAGAAATAATTATTCTAGTATAACCTACAAATATTTAATTTAAATTAAATTTCTTTATTAATTATTAGTTAAGTATAATAGGGTATGTACAGAAAAATTGAGTACAGTAAGTAGGTAGGTACCTGGCTATAAATATTTCACATCGACCTTTTAAAAGAGAAATTTCTTTGTAATATTACGATCTCATTTGTTATTTAATTCTTTTTTTGATTACAGATAAATAGAATAGAGGCTTAACTCAAAAAACAAGATATTTAAATCTTAAAAGTGAGGCTTCTGTAATAAGGTTCAATTTGAAATGCTCCATTTTATGAGTTACATCTGTTTTCTATTAAATATGCGATTTTTATCTATTAGTCTCTTTCCAACAGTCAATGTGTAATATTTATTGCCGAATACAGTATGTACCTATGTGATTACTTCCTAGTGAGTGCTATCTAAGTATATTTTTACAATACAATATAGATAGATAGGACTAGAAATTATTGACTAGACTAGATTACATTCTTATAAACTAAGATCTATAATGAATTAAATTCATTACAATTGCTTTTTTTATGTTACACTACGAGTAGGTATTAGGTAATTCTCTAAGACATTATTAAACTAATTACGTAAAACATTGTGTTTTTGTGAAGCATCTAGGGATCATATTGTGGAAACGTAGGTATTTGTTAGGTCACTTTAAGCAAAATGTAGTTAATAATATTTTAATTAACTTACAAGATAATTTTTAAAAGTCGTTAATGATCGGCGGTTTTTTCTACTACCTATTTAATAAAGATAAAACCCAATATGATACCCAAATTTTCTGGGAATAATTTATTTTTTCACCTTGCCATGTGTCATGTTCTGTTAAAAACTTAAATTGACCATAATACATATTTTGAATTAAGATGGTTATTAACGCTGTTAAATTAATGTGCATATTTGTATGCACATAGACATAGGTAAGTGCACAAAATACACCCAAGTTTTTGTAAGTAGGTACCTAGTATTATAAACAATTGAAACATGCAATGTGTAGAAAAAAATTAGTAAGTAGGTAGTTGTGTACCTAACTTAACAAACTTATTTAAATCGAAGGCAAAGACGATATCTGATTATAAAACAAAAGAACTTTATACGATAAACTCATAAATGTAGGTAGGTAGGTATTTATTTTTCCAAAATTTTAGGTAATCGACAGTGATGGACGCGGAAAGCTTTAGAATACAGTATAATTACTTAACAACACGGAGGCCTAAAGAAGCATAATTAACAAATTTACAAATATTTTATAATCGAAATATCAATAGGTATCGGAAATTAGCTTCTGTGTGAAGAATGACTAGTATTTTTTGGCAAATTGAGACACAGCTCAGAATAACAGTTACTATATTATGTTATATTAAGTAAGATATTACTACGGATATGTATTTTTACATAGGAATGTTATAATGTCAGCTAATGAGGCGCGGGGGCGGGCGGAGGCAAGAGAGGTAAGGGCGCGACACAGGCCACGCAGTCTCTATCTGAAAAAAAAAAACAAATAAAAACCATTAGAAAAAAAGCAAACCGACTTTAGTAATCATTCTCTGACTATTTTAGTAATCTGTGGTTGTTACCCGCACTAAGAACTTTTTTTTAACCGATTTCAAAAAAAGGAGGTGGTTGGTTCTCAATTCGTCGGGATATTTTGTTTAAGTAGTTTGTATTTTTTGATTGCTTTGTTTTTTTGAATATTGCCAATCAAATGGGTTTTCTTTCTTTCTTTCTTCATTACATATTGTCACTGGAGTAGAAGTAAATAATTGTTGTGTGTGATTAATTGATATAGTTAATAATAAATCATTTAACTACATCAATGTTTCATTTGTGATTCTTACCCCAGGGACCACATCTGGCGATGTGCAATGTAGGTATATCTCTTTGTAATTTATACATAAAATCTTGCACATTTTATTTCCATTGAAAAAATTAGAGATATGCGTTTACAATGATACCTACCTACTTAAAATTTTTTCATTGTCTAACAGACGAACTAATTGTACAACTCCCCTATTCATAAAAATTCAAGGGACTAAAATATAGTACCTACATACTTATAGTATATGTACATAATTAACGCTAACAGGAAAAAAGTATTCTAACAAAAATAAATAAGGAAAATACGGGTGGCATAAAATAAGCAAAAAGCCACGGTTAAAAAAAAACAATAAGCAGGGAGCTTGCAATCCGCGGAGTTGTAAATGAACTGACGTCACAGACAGGTAAGTTAAATGAGCGAGAATATCGATCCACGTCTCGAGGTACTGGCAACATAATCCGAATATAATTGCGGCACCCATGTTCTGCGTTCTGCCAATTAGAGTACCTCAGCCTCGTACAGTAAATATGGGCGCCATTTAATTGTCAGTTCATTGAAATGGCGCGATAATTGTGCAGCGTTCAATTTACGGAAAAGATTTAGGTCATTAGGTAGGTAGTGTGTTTGGTTGAACAACATTTAAGCTAGTTTGTGTAGGTACCTAGTTATTTTAGTGAGTTTACATAATCATGTTTGTTAATAAAATGCATTACGAATGTTTGTGAGTATTTTTATATCGAAACAAATATCGCAATATATTATATGCCTACTTATAGATACAGAGTTCCCCGTCACTACTTAGTACCTACTTACTATTTAAGTGTATAATATCTTATCATTACTTATTCATTACGTATCAAAGATGAGTTATCACTTAAAGGGGTATGGATGACACAATAACAATCCTTCTCACATACATTAAATTGCTTAAAATGCAGACTTTCAGCCAAAACCAGTAAGACTCAACCTACTGTTTTGTAGTATAGGGCGGCAAACAAGCATACTTATCACCTGATAAGCAATCAGCGCCGCTTATAGATATTCGCAACGCCATAGTGATTTCAGTTGCGTTGCCAGCCTTTTAGAGTTTGGGGATGTTTCTGATTAAAAAAAGGTCAAGAGGAACAAAATGGTTGATAACGTACACTTACCTCTGTCGTGCATATAATGCAGTGAGGGTCGCAAGTCAGGCAGCCTCCAGGGTTCAACCCTTGCTTCCTCATCCCTCTCCACTTTGGGAACCAGTCCACTCCAGCAGGTCTCGTCGGGGCGAGGAGTTGGCACGCTGTTACAAGGCCAAGTGCATGCCTGTTGAGGAAAAAGTGTTTAGCGATTTATACTCGTAGTACCAATGTGCAGATGAGGACGTCTAATCACTTAAGGATTGACCACCTGACAAAGGTGACAGGATTTTTTACGCGCAGGTTGCTTCCAATGGGTCGGTCTGGAATATTATGTAAAATTTGTAATTAACTATCGTCTCTAACGAATATACATATGTGGTATACCACCAAATAAAACTCGCAATATGTCAAAGTTCGTACGAATACATAATTGAGTACATTTTCGAAATTTTCTTTAACCGTGAATTTAAATTTCTATCGGATCTAACGGATACTTAAAATTGCTTATTCCTGACATGTGACATGACATAGGTATCTCTTTTAGAAAATCTAATTCATTAAGCTTTTCGATCATGATATAATATATTATTAAAATCGGTTTAGTCATTTCCATGATTTGATTGACTTGAAAGATGGAGAATGAAAACCAGTGAGCATAAACGCTCTTAAGAAAATGTTACGTCAAATCTACAAATACAAGACCAATCATTGTTTTAGGAGTTTATGGCCTGGATACGAGTCCTTTAAGCCAACATTGTTTTAGGTACTGTCCAGGACCACAGATTATTAAACTTCAACATTGTAACAAAATCAGTAATTTCATAAAAGAGGTTTAATTAACTACGTAACTATAGTTCCGTAGTAATAATCGTTGGAATTAGAACGTTTCGTGATAGAGGTCCGGTATTTCGATTACCGTCACGAGAGGGTATCTATCAGATGGGACACGACACCACTCCAATCCTTCATGACTATCACTTAACTAATAACAACCGTTATGTGACATTACCTACTGCGATTTTTATGTGTTTGTCAAACTTATCACACTTTTGTTTTTACCGAAATATACCAAACAGTCTTATTAATCTGTTTTTATGTGATACGTCGGCAAAAGCGCACACAGATTATCTGATAGTAAGCAATAGTCGCCGTTCATGGACACCCGTAGCACCAGAATGGTTATGATTCCGATGCCGGCCTTTTGGGTTAAGAATTCCAAATATCTAGGGTTTGTAACCTCAACACGATGCTGTGGTTGTTTCTCGCCGGTTTTCTGTGAGGCCTATCGAGCCCAATCGTGCTGAAGCTTGACTCCCCTTCTCTTAAAGTTAGTATTCAAAAATGCAAAAACGTGACATCAGATCACAATGACAAAATACCTTTTTTTTTGTCAGGGGAAAAATCATTAAATGACTCCTCCTACACAGGTTGAGGCGAGAGGGAGTGTCAGACTCTTAGTGACTAAAAACTCCCCCGTTCTTTCTCCTGCTCTAGGCCGAAGCCGAGGTGCCTCAATGCGCAATATTACCCCGCAACCCCGGCTAAATCTTAGGCCTATAGAGCCCCCCTCTGTGGTAGTCTATCTTCTATTATCTTTGAACACTACGCGTCGTACGCTTCGGCTTGGTTCTGGTCGGGCGGAAAGCTACTCGCCGTCGGCGTACCTACTGCGGCGGCTGCAGCGTGAGAAGGAGGATAACTCCCTCACGCGGCCCGTCCGCTCCTTCTTTGCGGGCATAACTGCTTCACAAAAAGAGGAGACGGCTTCTAGTAGTAGTAGTTCCTTTCGCTCCGCACACCATGGCCTCGACTAAAGAAGAGCGCGAGAGGTCGCCGCCACCAATCACTTCCCTGAGGACACGGCAGTGCTTAGCCCAACTAGGGAACACCGCCACCCTTTTCTTCACCGTACCGTATCCATACAAAATCCCTAACACGGTAGATTTTGTCAATTTGAAAATACTAGTTAATAATTAAATATTTGAGAAGGTAATTAATATTATTATTTGCGGTCAATTCGCAACAGTTTGAGCAACGCTGTCCACTTTGCAAGCAGATAGTGACATTACGAACAAAGCTCACAGTAATTATTGTTGTTTGATTTAAAAGCCAACGCGCTCGCGACTCTTTGTAAACCATAGAAACGTTTACAACTGCCATATATGTATACAAAAAAAATATAAAAAAAAATTCATCTCATCTATCTTGTCTATCTTCTAGATTAGAATTAAAAACAATACTCAAATCGTGCTACGCCGTAGCTGCTACGGACGCCTATATCGCCTACGCGATTAAAATCTTTCAATTTTGTAGAATGAATACCTAACTTACACCCGGTTTCTGAAAGGCTTGTCAACACTAAAATTAACTAATCTCCTGTTAAATCTCTTGTCAAGTCATCTGATTGGTTGTTGATAATTCAGTCAACCAATCAGATGACTTGACAAGAGATTAAATTGATTTTAACATTGATCGGCCTTTCGGAAACTGGGTGTTAATCTTCGAAACGTCCGTTTCGATGACACGTAAGGGAAATTGACACGTATTACGGATCGCAAGAGTATTGATTGTACTTTTCTTAAATTAAAAAAAAATCTGTGGTAGGTACTTTGAATTTTGAATTAACACGGTTTATAGCTACAGAACCTCTTATATATGGGACTCACAGAAAACTGAGACTGAGGAGTTTTTATGTAACTTGGCATGGAAGTGTGTATAGACCGGCCGAATGTGTCGGCTCGACCGGAGTGATACCACGACCTTACTAAAAACCGACGTGAAACAATTACAGCATTGTTAGTCCGTTGTGTGGGACCGGAGGCCCAATTCTTACCCCCTCCCTCCCTAATCCCTAAATCTCCAAAATTGTAATCGTCAAAAAGCTTTGAACACGTCCTGTCTGAACAGCGCGTGGTCTATGCACTTCCTAATAAAGAATTCATGGCGGGTTCCATATAATTATTTACGTTACGTGGCTTCGTTTGTGTTATTACGTTAAATAATATATTGTACTTCGATTAACATACTTCCATGTGTCGTGTGACAATAACTACCTTGAATTTAACCTTCTATTTGTTAGTTACGATTGTAAAAACTACGCCGTTCTAGATACGGGTGATTATTGTTGTATTTTGTTTAGTGAAAGAAGTATTTAAACTGTATTGAACTTTATTATCGAAATTTTAGAGATTTTATCTTTTTGATATAGGTACCTAATGTTTGTTTGTTATTTTTTAAGTAGAAACATAGGGCCAATCGCGAGTTGTAAGTACTCGCTGTAAAATAGTCCCGTTACCAAAACCAATATTGAATTAAGGAGCCCTCATTAAATACATATTATAATTATTTGTAATTTCTTTATTTGTTGTTATAAGTAGAAACAGAAAAATACATGATTTCAAGTGTTTAAACGATGAGTGGTTCAAATAATACAGCCCGGTGGCAGACAGATAGCGGAACCTTAATAAAAACGTTCCTGTTTTACCCTTTGAGTCCAAACCCCTAGCTTACAAGTTAATTATCAGCACCTAACTATAGGTACACTGATAACAAATCAGAGTTTGCCACAATCTCCACCCAAAACAGTCGCAGAATGCTGGCAGATCTCTTTTAAATATTTAGTCCCTCGTTTTGTTTTTACGACATCCGCGCCGAGTGCTCTGTTGTCACTAGCCAGTCTAAAAACTAGGTACTTACGGCACTGATATCGTTATACCTACTACCACTTGAGATACAAAACATTTATCACAACAACCTATTAAAGATACTCTTTGAATGTAATTAAATTATATACAAAAGAAGATAACGTAACTGTCATATAAGTATATAGTATTATTAAATTTCATCCAACAGCTGCATTTCCTATTTCCTCGTTTAATAAATGGTTAGGAATATTGTTATATCTAATCTTGTGGCAAAAAAGAGCCATTTGCAGAAAAATAATGACGTCACGACTAACAAAAGACGGGGGGCATACATTTTAGCGGCACAAGCAAACAACAAAATTAATGTTCCGCACACGACGCAACCAATAAAAACGGGCGGGCCGCGGGCCAAAATGCCAAATCCCAAATGAGGTAAATAAAAAAATATGTCGAAATGTCACAACGACATTTAAATAACGGCACAGATAATCTAGTAAGTTTTATTGGTGATTGAAATCAATATAGATTATAAAAAGTTTTGACGAAAGAGATAGTAGATACTAACTTATAAAAATAAATAAATCATAAAACGTTCGATTGACATGGATTGGTTATGAAACCAATCTAGTTATTAGTATTACTATTCTACAAATGCGATCACCAGAAATTAAAGTGTTGATTATTTGATTTTTCAATTTTTTATACTGGCCAACGTACTAACTACAGCACTAATTAAACATATATTGCATTTGGAGATTAATATAATAAAACTTCATAATCACAAATGGATCTATTTAGCTAGATACTTTCAGCCCACATACCACAAATAAGTAAGTACTTCTAATATCGATACTTTTGTTCTAATCCTTTCAATTCCCATAAAACATGTTATCGAACATAACTGTCCAACTTTTAATATGGTTCCGATAACAATCTCTTTGTCATTAATGTATACCCATAAAATAATTTGATAGTTTCTGTCTGTCGTTTCAATGAATTAATAATGTCCTTATTATTCGTTTTTGTTTAATAAAAGAAATGTGCTGTTGTTTAAACTAAGTAATTTAGTCTAAGTGTCTATTGTTTACAGAAAAGAAATATTATGACACTAGTGAAGTGTTTACAGAGATCGTTATCATTTTAATTTTCGTTGTCTATTTTTTTTTCTGTTGTTTTGGAGATTTTTGGGCATTTATAATAATCATTTCGTTACCTAATCATTGTTTGTAGGCTTATTGGTAAACAGATATTATTACACAGAATCTCTAGGGTTTCAGATTGGTTATTGAATTCAGTAGTCCTTAAATTGTACCAAAATATGATTCTAAATTAAAAGCTTACAATAAGCTGGCACTTAGTATCTGATACAAAAAGCTCAAACAATTGTAATATTTAAACAGCCCAGTAGCTCGTCACTATAAAACAAAAAACGTGATGCCATCTGGTAAGCGCTGGGAGAACTAATATTGCAACTCTATTCTCTTTGTACAGGCAGAACGATATTAAGGTCGCAGCCTAGTTTTTAGAACTGCAAAGAGCAAATATATACCTACCAATGTTTTATTTTTTACTTTTAATTATTTTGTCAAGGGGTACAATAGACTCGAACAAAACCTTATATTTTTTTTTATGTAATAGGTAAGTCGGCAATCGAGTAGACGGATTACCTGATGGTAAGCAATCAACGCCGCCCATGGACACCCGCAACGGAGGAGTTACGAGTGCGTTGCCGAACTTTTAGAGATTAGGGATTTGGAGATTTAGGTATTGGGGAAGGGTCCGGGAAGGGGAAGGATTGGGCCTCCGGTAACCTCACTCACACGGCGAAACACAACGCTGTGGTTGTTTCACGACGGTTTTCTGTGAGGCCGTGGTATCACTCCTAGTCGAGCCGACCCATTCGTGCCGAAGCATGGCTCTCCCACACTTAGCAAAACATAAAAAATATTGATTTCGAGTCAATATTTTTCGAAACAAAAATTAGCCGGTCTGAGTGTGGGAGAGTCATGCTTTGGCACGAAAGGCCGGTTCGTTGTGTATCGCCGTGTGAGTGAACGATCCGATGGAGAAGAACGAGTAAAAACCTCCATGGTTACTCTTTTCAGTCTTGACTGCAGTTTTGATTGCACGGTTAGCAACTGGCTGCTGTGCATCGTGCGCGGTTCCGATTCCCGCTAGAAAGAACACTGTGTGATCCACAAACTGATGTTCCGGGTCTGGGTACGATGTGTATATGAATTTGTATACTTGTAAACGCACCCACGACACAAGAAAAAAATCATAGTGTGGGGCAACGTTTTTTTTATTTCGAGTAGGTACCTACGTACAAAAAAGTAAAAAATCTGATTCCATTATACAATAATTCCAGTAAACCCGTAGGTAACCAGTGAAATAAATTATTGACAAGGTAACAAACAACATTGTATCGAAGTTCAAACACAATTAATAGCGAACGACGTCATTGTTGTGACGTCAGCGTGTGAAGCGTGTAATTAATTGGGATACGTCACTGTCCCGCGGGACCAAAGCCCGGGACGCGGGACACGAGATCCCGGGGGGCGACACTGTTGCATTGCGTACAATCAATTGTTTATTAATTCTAATTCAACTGCTAGCTACGTTATTGTGCGGATTTACATTCATAAGATTAAGCACAAATTATTTATTAAAGAAATAAAAAGTATTTTTTGATTTATATTTTACTAGCTTTTGCCCGCGACTCTGTTAGCGGTGAATAGTCGAGTTCCAAACTATGTCTGTACCAAATTTCACATAAATCGGTTGAGTAGTTTAGGCGTGAAGAAAAGACAGACAGACAGAGTTACTTTCGCATTTATAATATTAGTTTAGATTACTTTGGATTTACTTCGATCGGGCAATGGTGTGGTACCTACAATAGGTATAGAATTTACCGATATTTTTTAAATGTTGCCCTAGAAAAATTGCTCTCTTGTGTTCTGGATATAGGTACTTAGATAATCACATGCACTTAACACACAGTGATGTTGGCCAGCCACCACAAAGTGATGTAGTTGGTGTACGGGTCGGTCCGGTCATTTTGACTCTGCGACTTATCTTTGATCCAAACCCCTTAACCAATAAAAAGCCAGAACCAAACGTATATTCGTTTTTCATTGGTTTAGGAATCGAAGTAACCTCCCAAGGTCAAAGTAACCAAAACTTACGGTATATTATATCTGTGTAAGTGTGCAATCAATAAAGGACAGTATTATTTGGGTAGTAACGGATACCGTTACTACCATTCGACCTTGAAGTGCAATCAAACTTGTCCTTCTATCTTTCTTCTCTCTCCTATAGGTAATTAAAAGTTTCATGTTCAACTTACCACACAAATGCAAATCCGAAATTACTGAATTAAAATCTTAAAATATTGTTTAAAGTTATTAAGTACTTAATAGGTCGGCATACAAGACACCTCATAGTAAGGAATTGCTAAAGCCCATGGACAGTCATAGCACCCAAGGAGTTGCCGGCCTTTTGTATGTTGTTAGAGATTTAAGAATAATAATGTGGGGATAGTGGTACCTTCGCTAATGCGGTTAAACACGAGTGCACTAAGTATGTATTAGGTAAAAAATAAAATCCCATATTCACTTTAATTTATAAATTTCACAAAGTCTACAATGGCATCAACTACAAATAAAAATAAACCAATCAAAAATTCACTCAAACTCACGAATGTACATTCGCAACGCATCACAAAACCCCAAAATAATCTCTACGTGCCTAAAACAAAATGGCGTCGGTACAGCGGGAGTGATTTATACGAACATCAAGTACAACAATTGAATCGCTTCGTACAATCCTCCTGAAGTATCTATTAGGGACGTGATCCGGTTACCGAACTCTCACTAACGTTACAAAAGTATTTATGTGTTCGTACCGAACTGAGATTTTTTTTCTTTTAATGTTCGCCCCGAGGATTACGGCCATTCGTCTTTTTGGTGTACGAGTTTACGTTATTCGTGTGTTTGTGATTACCACGGTGACGGGTCGATAGAAAACTAGAGATTTTTGTATGACTCAGGCTAGCAAACGAGCAGAATTCAGATAGCATTTGGTGTAGTTTATTGATAGCTTCATCACCAAAGGACTTAGGTAAACGTAACTAAGATTTTCTATTTGAGATTGGGGATGTGAGGAGGGCTTGGGCGCAAACACAACGCAAACTTTGTTGTGCGCTGGTACTCAGTGAGGCCATGGTATCACTCTTGTTAAAGGCCAATTCCGGCCGAAGCATACATAAACCTAACGTGTGTAAAAATCTGTAGACACCTAGGCATAGAAACAGTGCTGCTTTTGTATGTACCTATTAAACATTAAAAATAATTAAAAAACTGTCAGCCAGTATGTCCGTCAGGGAAGACGTTCCGAAGTCTAGCTTCGATAGCACCGTCAAATAATAACATAAGCAAATAAATTGTCCTAAAGATGAAACTCATTTCGTTATGCCATGACTTTTTGAATCGTCGAGTAATAATTAATTAAACAGATAGGGCTGTTACATTTTAATTCAATAAGTTGTCGACAAGGACTTACTGTATTGGCGTTTATCGCAGTGTCGAGTATCTGTTTGTGAACGCGCCCTAATTTGAACAGCGCACGTGCCTCAGGGCTGCCACTAAAGTTAAGAGAATTTAATCGGAAAATTTTGTTTATATTCTCGTGTTATTTAATATTTAATACTGTTATTTTAACAAAGTTGTTTGTTTAAATGTTTTAACATTAATATAATGACTTGATCTACAGTGACAATATTTCTTTGTCCTCAATTACAAGATTGTTATTCTCTAATTAATTGCAAACGATAGGGATTTGTTTTAGTTAACGTGCATAGAATGAATAATCAAAACTTTATGACTGTGAACGGTATAACAAAGAAGCTTCCACTGTAACTACTATTTTATTAGTTCGTGCTATACAATCGACAAACCTCTCTAAACAGTCAATCATATAAAGTTCAATCATTGATGCGCAATCCCTGACCTGGCCATGCAATATTTAATCCACCTGCTATGGACAAAGAGTATGTCTGTTACGGGCAAATGTCTGGACAATGGATCGATCCAATAAGCGCAGCCCGCGGCGTTAACACTAAGCCGATTTCCATCTAGACTAGTCTGTGCCTAGATCCGATTACATTTTAATCCTGGGTCTGTTTCGGCAATCTATATTAATTGTTCTGATATGGACATGTATATAGATATGAGTAGGTGGTACGAATGCAGCTCCAGGCTCCTTTCACAATTAGCGAAATCAATTTGATTATCCATCATCGTATTAAGTTTTTTGTGAATTTTTTTGTTTATCCTGACGCGAAGTAACAACTGATCATGACTTATCTGAAGACTAAAACATTAAATTAAAGTTATAATTATTAACTAGCATCCGCCAGCGGCTGTGCCCGCTTGGTCTGTTGTTAAAAAACAGCCTATGTGTTAATCCAAGGTATCGTCTAAACTAAATCGGTTCAGCCGTTTTAGCGTGAAAAAATAACAAAAATTCATCCATACCTTTTCACAAAATTTTCACATTTAGAATATATGTTGGATAGTAGGTTAAAAATTACTTACAGATTTTGTTTTTCTAAATTTTTTCTGCTTGAATAACGAAACGAAAATATTTGAAACGATGGACAGGTCAATGGAAATTAAATACGTTCGTAAATTATTTTAACTATATGCAGTAAAAAACGAGAAAAAATAAGAAAAAGAATTCAAGCGTTAATTTTCCTGATACCCTTAAATACTTACTTACTGAAAGACAAAATAACGCTGTGTCTAAGAGATGGAACGTTTCAGTTCACCAGCCCTAACGTGTCCTTTGAAGGGATTAATCGTAGGGTTCTCGAGCCGCGTTAATTACTAACATTTACGTCAATCATTAGAGGCAACAGCTCTTTTATTTACATCGTAATACCCATTCAACACTGGTAAATAACTTATCATAGCTGAGAGACTACTAAGAACTGTTCTACTTATATAATTCCAAGAGTTTAATCAATACCTTTACTTCAAGGACGATTTTAACAAAGTTTTTAATCAAACATTTACGCTAATTTGCAAATCGTCTTGCTAATAAAGTTAATTTTCTGTGTTGAAACTTATTAAGAAAAATTGAATTTTTTTTACACACGAAACGACATAGTGTATGGATTTATTACGTAATAGTTGATTTAATTCCAAAGTTAAATTTTAAACACCAATAATTAAAGTATGAGTTTGAAAAAAGTCCTAAATTCCTAGAAAATAGGACACAATTTAGCTACACACTAATTACACTGTGCCAACCAAAGTACTAAAGCTTATTCAAAACTCAACATGAAAAAGAAAAATTGGAAAACACGTTTCGAATGAACACGGACACTAAAACGTAAATCCCCAATTAATTGGTCCTGGAAGCCGATCGCGACTAAATTAAACATTTTCTCTTATTTAAAACCGAAATGAAGTTCATTTGAATTCGTCCCGCCAGTAATTACAGAGTTTACGACGTGCAAAAGCCTCGATGGGCAGCCATTTTGGTAAAATGGCGGCAAGTGGAGTCCATTGGGAGAATGACGGACACCGCTGGAAATTAAATGGCTTATCTTTGAAGGCGAATAATTAATCAATGCATTAATTACACTAAGTTTCTTTGATTTTAACGTTTTTAAGCAGTTTGCTTGACAGTTTAAAACATTGTGTTGGTAGTTTCTTGGTATATGCATGACAGAATATGTCATTTTCTTTTGTTTAACCATTTTAGCTGCGAATCATCTGATGATTAGCAATCTGCGCAACTCAACCGGTTGGCTAACCAGATAAATCAAAGTAACTACATTTCTAAATTGAACTCATAATGAGCTAATTGTAGGTATCAAGCACAGTTAAGTATCTTCAGAAAATCTTAAGTTATAAACTTTTTCGTTTTAATAATTTTCCAAAAAAAGGTTTACCTACGTTTTAACCTGCAATTAACTTGGATTCTTGCTTCACTTTCACTCAATTATAAGACATTAGAATAAAATTATAAGACTACATCTGCAACTATTATTCTACGTAACAAGTCCTTACAAAATCCAACAGGGAGTACCTTCAAAGTCTAAATAGGTGAACAAAAAAACTAATCGCAACGATTACTGAGTTACAGCGAAGGTGATTGGAAAAATTTTCCTCTTCCAACTTTTTAAATTGGATCCAACTCTCGGTTCGGTCGAGCTCAGAGAAATCCAACTCGAGTGGATAATACGATTCACTCAATACTATTAAATTGCATCTTTGAGAAACGTTTACGTAAGTTATAAAAGGATTCGACTTATTTTTACCGACTTATTCTCGAGTACTCAGTAGTCTTTTTGTAGTACTTACCCCTTTAGCTTTGGTACAAGTATCATCATAATGTAATGTAAAATGTATGACTTCAAAAGATAATTTTGCAGTTATAAGTGTAGGAGAGCCGTACTTTGGCGCGAATGGGCTAACTCGACAAGAGTTCTAGAGAGATAGATAGAGATAAAGCCTCATAAAATACCGGCGTGAAAATAACCCTTGCGTCGTGTTTCGTTAAGTGAATGAGATTACTGGAGGCAAAAATTCTTCCCTGTTTCTTCTTCTCCCACCCCCGGACCATCCTTTAATCCCACAAAAGGCCAACGCGCTTATTAACTATTTTGGTTTGTCTATGGGCAGCGCCGATGGTTTACTATCAAGTAATAAGTCTGGTCGTTTGCCGACTTATAGGTACCACAAAAAAGTTATAATTTGCATTTTATGAATTGTACCATATTGTTGATTATTTCATTGTATCGCTTTATGACGAATTTAAATTACCGAAAAAGTAAGTATATTTTAGCCTCACATTCAAGTAGCCAGTTGTGAGTGTTAAAAACCTGATTTTTTTCATGAATCTATCTAAGAAAGGAGGTCTGTATAACTATTTTTTATTGTTCAGCGCCGCCCTATGACATCTGCAACAGCAGAGAAGTCACTGGCATGTTGCCGCCCTTTAAGAAGGAGTACGCTCGTTTCTTGAGGGTTTGAAAGTCGTATCGGTTTAGTAATACCGCCGCCGAAAGATCATTCCAAAATTTTGCAGTGCGAGGCAGAAAGCTTTGAACAAATTACACAGTCCAATTATTGAAAAAGAAAACATTACTTACAAATTCACTTACCACATCTCTGGGCTGGTCTTCCTCCGTAGTTTCAATATCGACGCTCTCGTCACTATCTCTGTCGCTCTTTGGTGAACGTGCTGGAGATGATGGCGGCGGCGAGCGCAGTGGCGATCTAGTGTGTGATGACCTTAATGGCGACGATAGTACTGGCGACCTAGACGTTCCAAGTTTAAAATTTGAAATTAATACAAAAATTAAGAAACTGTTATCGAAAAGTTTTGTCTTTTTAATTGGTCGTGGTTGTGTTTGTATCCACTTTGTTGCCAATAAATAAATAATAATATTGTGAGTTTCTTTTTTTTCAAAGAAGGGTTTATTATGTAAGATATCGAAAATATGACCTAGATTGTAAACTCACCTGTTTGGTGACCTTGGCGGTGACATGACAGGGGATAGTTGTGGCGACTCTAGTCGGTGTCCCCTCACTGGACGGAAAGCACGGGGCTCCTCTATTGAGTTCACACTGCTCAGTGCAGTTAGAGCACCTGTGTTCACAATAATCTTTAGTAAAGGTACTTACAGAAGATACAACTATGGAACAAAACAGAAACTGTAAAGTCAAAGTCAAAGTCATTTATTTCAATTAGACCCTTATTTCACTTAGATACAGGCACTTTTGAACGTCAAACAAAATTTTAAAGATATAAAGTGTCCGTTTGTCGTTCAGTCCTCTTAGTGAAACTAAGTGTGTGAGATTCTAATAAACTCTAACACGCGGTAAAGTTAACCAAGTTTCCATAATTCTGGACTCCTTTCTATTACTGGAAACTCGACCATTCCCTGAGCTCCTGATGAAATCAAGTTGTAAGTAGGTTGCAATGCAATTCCAACCACTCGACCAATATTGCGAATTTTGGTGAATAATATCTATTTAGGTATATCTAAGTAGTGTACTGATATTAGTGCATCATATGCTCATCAAACTATACGTACGTACTTAAAATATGTACATTATCGACTCTATTAGAATACTATCTGTAGCTTTACGGCATTGAAAGATTTTTTCAAACTCCATCAACTTAGGCCTACTCAATTTAAACACATAAACACTTGAATCTTTCTTCTTTATAATAGTAGTGAAGACTAATAAAGTTGCTTATTTTATTGATTTATCTTATATATAATTCTTACCAGGAGTCCATAGGGTTGGTTTTAGCCAAGGTAATGCATACGGCAGAGGTAGTCGGGCCCCCCAAACGTAATCTGCCAAGCGAGGTACAGGGGCGTGCGCGCTGGGAGGACTGGCCGCCGGTCTCTTAGCCTCACTACTGCCCTCTGACTCCGGCCTGCGGAAAGGCACTCTTCTGAAGCACAATTTAAAGTTGAACTATTTAAATTGATTTCAGTACGGTAAGTTACGGTTCTCAAGTCAGTGCGTAAGGTCCTACCAATTTACTTCTTATTTACTTATAAATAAGGATGTTTGTTGCTAGTCAGATCAAATAGTTGAAAATCTCGTCAAATAACTCGCATGTGAACAAGTTCAGTTCAGTCAGAAAATTGAAGAAAAACGCACATATGTATATCGGTCTCGTTCTTACCTAGCAGCCGACAGCATTCGTTTTCTCGTTCCCCCATTGAACATAGCCTTTACATCTTCCCACGCATGAACCACTTCTTCGGGGGGTGTACCGCTGAGTTTCATGTGTCGTCGCCAAGAATTGAAGTTGGCTGCATCAGGCTGTATGTACTTGTCTCCTGGGCCAACTCGGTGGGAATGGAATATGAACTTGTTTGGAGAGAAGAAGAGGCCACAGTATGCACACTTGATGCATTTCGCTCGAGAAGAATTGTACCTAGGACGCGAATTTCAATGTTTTAAGGGTATATAGGTACTTATTAACACATTTAGACAAAACACGAAAACATATAAACATATACATTTGTATATAAGTTTTGAGTTTTACTGTAGAAAATATTATACTCGTGTTTTTGTGGAATAACAAACAATAAGTACATAAATAAAACGAATTGAAGTGTATGTGCTTGGAGCTTGTTACGTCACCGCTCAGTATAAAATGTTAATATAATGTTATTGTGAAAATATAATAATTAACAAATGGATTAAATCTATACTATTAAAGTGACTACACGTGACGATATTTTAAGTCATGCAACGAAATTGTTTCATTTTGTAAAATAGGAAAATACATATTTCATAATTTAAGCAAATCTCTCAGTCAGGCTCTAAGAAAATGTCGTAACCCTGAACATTGTTTACATATATGAGAACACTTTACCTGGCCGGTAAGAACGCGCCACGGCATCCCCAAGCACACTCATGATGAACAGCGAATGCGAAGTCGTCCGGCAGTCTAGGCGGGGCGTTGTCCCCAAGAAATGATTTGCAAAGTCGTTCTGCTTCCCTCCTCGTTATCATACCTAAAATTTTAATATTTTACCAATCTAAACTCAACCTTAAAGGTTGGGTTAGACACAACAATTCGAAAAAAAAATGTATACATATGTATACAGGCTTCAAATTATTACAAGTGATAAGTTCCCACTGCTTGATTATTATAAATAATAAGGGCTGATTTTTCAATGGTTAGATAAATGTTACCTGGAGAATAATTATGATGCTGTCGTGTCAAAATGTTTGTATAAGACAGTGACAGCAACAATTTTATTCCTCAGATCACATTTATCTGATTATTGAAAAATCTGCCCTAAATGTAATAAATTTGATTCACACATAATAATGTGTATTAAAGATAAATAAATAAAAAAAACATTGTGAAGAATTTATGATAATATTTTTTGCCAGATATAAGAACAGTAACTATCGTGAGACTAAACTTAATTATTTTGAAAATAACGACTTACTCACGTGAATGAACTGACAAACTCTACAAGTTTACGCGACGCGCTCACTGCTCATGAATAAGAGTCCCGTTCTGACTTGAAACTAGTAGAGCATTTCTCAGTTCATTCACGTGATTAAGTAGTTATTTTCTTTAAACAAATATTCACCTTCATATTATTGAAACACGACACATAGACGAAATGTGACAGGAAATAAAACTTACCACATCGTCGAGAAGACACAGGCATGGCTCCAGCTCTCCTCAAAATCTCCAGCTGTACTGGAGTACACTGTACACAAGTAATGCCCAGAGCCACGCGACGATTATGTATCTCATTGTACGAGAACTGCTTCAGTAACGTGTTCGATATCTGAGCCAAGCACAGTCGTTCGTTCCCTTCTATCACCAGGGAAACTATTGGTACTCCGTAGAGAAGTACCGTGCCCACCTGCAAGAGGTTTTCTTATTACACTACAATATTATACTAACTACTAGCTACTCTCGTGCGGTATCACCTGCTGTTCGGCCCTATTTTATCTACAGCATTCAGGAACATTGTAGCTAGCTATCAGTGAAAGAATTTTGGCGACCAGCGGTTCCAAAGATTACCCCCTACATACAAACTTGCAAATTTTACCTCCTTATAATATTAGTATAGATTTGCACAATACGGGGAAAATTACGTGTATCTAGATGTTGTTCATATGAATTTAATTGTACTGCTGCAAACACACAATTTCTGCATATTTACCAAATAGATTATTAAGTTCATCGTTACAGATTAGATCTAACTCAAAAATCTACTTCGTTAATCATCTATAATGACTGTATAAATGTTATGCAAGCTGTCAATAGTTGAGATATGTTTATCGGAGTCACAACGTTATTTAGAGTAGGTATATCATGTGTCATAAAACGAGGATTTAATTACATTTGCCACGTAATTACACGCTTGTAACCTTCAGGCACAATAACTTATTGTCGATTGATCAAATAATCAGGGTCAGACATACAGACTAAATTACTACAAAGTAAATATAAAAAATAAAATCTTCGAATTCAGAAACACGAAATAAGGTCATTCATTTTATTAAATCGTTATAGGAACTTTGGGACGTTAAAAAAAATACTCCAAGAATTTTCTTTTTAGGTATTAGGACGTGGGATAGATCCGATAGATACGAATAGGTCCGATGCTATAGTGCAAGGCGATACAAATTGTCGTTTATAGAACGATTTTAATGTTTTAACGTTAATAACCTCCTTTTGTAACGTTAATAGTATAATAATTATTAGCGAGCTTCGCACGGGAGGAATGCTGATACAATTTTTCGACAGTTTAATTAATATTATAATACATACCTATTATTATAAACCTGTCTATTTCATCACTTCATCTATTAAAAACCGAATCAAAATCTGTTACGTAGTTTTAAAGATTTAGGCATACATAAAAAAGACAAAGAAAACAACTTTGTACTACGTAGTGATTAATTATTGTTTGATTAATCCACACTAGATTTGTTTAATATATTTTTATATATATATATTATATATATTTGTTAAATATATTTAAAGCAATTAGTTTCATATACAAATCTAGTGTGGATTAATCAAACAATAATTAACAGTTACCTGATTAGGTTTGCCACTTAATTGCAAAGTTTTGTGTTCGGATCTTGGTTTGAGAGACTCCCGCGGCGAGAGTGCCAAGTTAGTAGCTTCCATTCTGTAACAAACAAACATTTCAATAATAATCTCTTATTCACCCCAGATGAGGTAGCATTGCTTTTAAGAACTGAGAAAATAAAAGCAAATATTTGGAAGAAATCTTTTAATTGTATTATCTACAATATCTGGCCTTCTTTCTAAACTCAGCGTCGCTCAGTGCGCGATGGAGCGGGCTATGCTCGGGGTCTCTTTGCGCGACAAAATCCGAAATGTGGAAATTCGCAAAAGAACCAAAGTCACCGACATAGCTCGTAAAATCTGCAGGCTAAAGTGGCAATGGGCAGGCCACGCCGCTCGAAAGACGGACGGTCGATGGGCCCGAAAAGTCCTAGAGTGGCGACCAAGGACCGGAAAACGTGGCGTGGGCAGGCCTCCCGCTAGGTGGACCGACGACATCGTCAGAGTCGCGGGGAGCCAATGGATGCAGGTGGCAACTTGTCGTTCGACGTGGAGAGCTAAGGGGGAGGCCTTTGTCCAGCAGTGGACGTCTTCCGGCTGATGATGATCTACAATATTTAAACAGTATTTCTATTTTGTTTATAAAATGTAAGAAAAGGTAAACGAGCAGTCGGATCACCTGATGGTTAATGCTATTTAACAAGGATTTCGTTCGTTTCTTGAAGTTGTGAAGGTCATACCAATTCAGAACTACCACCGCCGAAAGATCATAGAAAATGGAATCAATAGACAATCGACACAAATAGACCTAGAAATAACAACTAGAAACAGACACAGTTTTGACTGCCAAACATGTATGTGATAGGATGGAAGTGTCTAGCATGTTTGCTATAGGTTCAGCTATTATTTGAATCCAGGGAAGCAGGAGAAGGAACGGGGTGATTTGTTATTAGTTATCCATTTCCAATTTTCCATAATATGATACTTACTAAAACTTGTATCGAAGCAACAAGCTCGTCTGATGGTAAAGTATTAAGAGGTATTAATCAATAGAGCGTTAAGTATTTGTCAACAGAGCGTTGCTGTTGATGTAAAAATTAAAAATGGCTATTTCCATTTCAAATAATTTTAGCACTAAATAGACTGGGCCTCTGTCGATTAAATAAGCTAATGATGGTCTATAATGATGTACCAGTAATGTTCATTATTATTATTAAACACAATTTACAAAATTAAATACATTTCCCGTTCCATAAATACAATGTCCGAACAGTTGTGTATCATAAAACACTGTAATGTCCCTAAAATCACGTGGAAATGTCATTTTGTCCCATTAATATGACAAATAACCAATAAAATGACTTCATTTACTTTTGCCGCACAATAAAACTGCACAGTGCGATATATTCGAATAAATTTGGGACAAAAGTGATCGTTTTGTATACAAATAGGCAGTTTGCGTGTGAATTTAGTGTATCGAATATCAATTGGCCGTATTGAGGGGAGCGATAATGTGGTACCGCCCCTTTCCGAAACCCTCATTTCAATATTTTTGTTTTAAAGGAGAGTTTTTTGTTCGTACCAGTATTTTTATTTATATGTTCAGGTTTAGGTTTATTATGGTTAGGGACTTGAGAAAAAAACTTTTAACAAACAAAATAGCAAGACGATTACTAAATAAAAAATTCATTAAAAAAATACTAACTACTGATGAAAAAAGCTTATGCCGAACCTTATATATGTATGTAAATAAAAACAACAATAAAACTGACCATTGAAAAACAGTAAGGCTACTATAAGAATGAAAATAATTACAACAAAATAAGAAACAATCAAAGTTGACCTATATCCAGAAGCGCCCTTTTGAAACGTAACAACTGTATCAAAACATGTCACCGCTTTTAAAATGATAAATGTGACCACTTAAAACTTGTCTAAAGTCGGGAATCAAAATAGGGTTGGCAAATATACGCGGTGACATACTGGCGGGATCATTACAGGGTGTGATTAGTCAATTTTGTGTCACCCCTACACAGTGGGCCTATGCATGGGCCAAGCCGCCAAAATAATTGATTAACCTAAACGAAGTGACGTTAATGTAATGATCGCATATGTTAACTTTTGTTTGGGATGTTTCACTTTTATTGTTTCTGCGGTGATTTGGTAAATAATTTATTAAATTATTCTTAAAATTAGATTTTCTATATGACTTTTAGGAATGATTTTTTGTTGTAAATAATTGCATATTTGCGTTTCGATTGTTTCTTATAATGCACAACCTATAGAAATGTACTACCAGTTCCTATAAAAATCTTGCATTAATTATCTACTCAAAAATCCAAAATGGCGTACTTTTTGGGATGATGTAAAAATTTGCTGAATTAATGCTACTTGATGTAGACAGTCTTTAATAATCCCTTTACTGTCTAATTCCTTTCTAAGATCTTATTTAATTATGTTTTATTAAAAAAAATATTAGCAAAACGATAAATTCCTAAAACATAAACAAACAAAAGAGAACACTTGAAAATTTTAATCTTCAGACGGCCATCTTGGCTCTCTCTACCAGATTAGATAATATTATGCAATATTAATCATTTTTTACATTTCACGGTTCAACTGACTACAATTCTACTCGATTCGCGGACAATGCTTTTATAAAATACACTTGTAATTATATATCCCTTATAGGGGCCATATGGTGTTGATATCGGTGATATACGGGGGCCATCCCCGGGGATGCAATGGGGAGGAGCACATGTGTACACTTGTAACGGAACTAATCGTTTTTGGAAGGAATCTGTTCTTTCGCTATGGTTGTCGGCTTAAGTTTAATGCTTTCACGGTTCACTAATGTGTTACATACATTTGATTGGAGTAAAACGCTGGTTGCAGAATTATTCAAGAACAAGAATAAGATTAAAGCAATCTTACGACAAGTTAAATAAAATCCACAATAACAATTCGACTTCGTTTTTTACACAAAATGCTTCTTTCAAAGTAAGTAAGCCCCAAATAAATCCCAATAAACTCAAACGTACAACCCTAAACACAAACTCGACTATTTGAAAATAAATCCAATACGTGCAGTACAAAGGTATTTTGTAAGCTACCAACAAATAGTGACACTGAACCGCCGATCATCGGGTGTCCAAATAAATTGACAACACACAAATCCCGGACAATACCCGCTTGTGGCGCAACGATCGCCACATTGACAACATGTTGTGCACTTTCTCGGATAATCCGTAACTAAAGGGGACTCTCGAATCTCTATGTCAAGTGCTGGGGATTGTAGGGTGACCCTAAAACATACATATAAACTTTACTTAGACTTGAAGATTGCTATGAACAAAATTAATATAATTCCATTAGTGCTTTCTAGACTTCTAGAATATACCATTAGTGTTGAAAGTATTGTTTATTTTATTCTTAACAACATTAGTACGTATCTATAAAATAATTAATAACATGGAACCTAGATGTTTTCCAATGAGATTGTTATACCAGTAAAATTGAAGACTCATTAAAACTATAAAATACATTTTAAAAACTTAAAAAAAAAAATTTTTAAGTAATAATAAATATAGAATTAATATTTAAAAATTCAAATGTTTCCTAGCCTGGATACCGTACTGGATACCGAACGATAGCTCGAAGTAGTTTCTTTTAAATTGTATTTTGTATAGAAAAATACTGTTTAATCTTTGTAAAGACAGCCGTCGCCCGTCCGCCATTGTTACGGGTCCAGCTTCGTTGCCCAAGCGAGGGGCGCGAATTTTTTATGACACGTGACGAAACGTACCGTTTTGTAAAAGTCAAAATACTATTATGGCATGGTCTCTTGAAATTAGATTTTGTTAACATTTTTATTAGAAACTTTATTTGTGAATGATGAATGAAGAATGACATTTTCAGTGACTACAATCTCTTAAATTAATCAAACAATAAACATGAAGGAATGATGTTCTTTTTTCGAAAGCGACACTAGATATTATTTGTTATTTTTTTCTCTTAGTTTAATTCAAAGTATTGTGGTATGAAAATTAATAAACTATTTAGTACTTTCTGATAAAGTTAGCTTAATAGTTTTTCATTATTTATCTCGTTTAAATAGTGCAAAACTATTGCTAACTAAAGATTGTCCTAATAGTATAAAATAAGTAATAGTTTTTCATTATTTAAACGAGTTAAATAATGAAAAACTATGAGGACAATCTTTTTTCTTTTTTTGACGAAATTTTGATTTGTAATAGGTACTTACCTATCATGTGACCTCGCGACTCAGTAGGTATACATATTTTCTACTAGTGGTAAAGTGACTCCTAAACATAGATTTGTATTACCTAAATGTTATTAATACCTTAATATTTTTTCACTATCTAATTGACCGACGGCCAAATAGATTTTTTATTTTCATCACAATGCAAATTAATAGTTATTTACATGTAATTACGTAACAAAATCGCGAGACGAGCTCTCAAACTCAACACATAATACATTCCCAGACAATAGACAGGACATAGTTTAAACAATTCGCTTCAGATTAAAAAGGTTTCGTACAAAATTAATTCGGCTTCGTTATTTACTTTGTTACTTTGTTCGCTTAATTGAGTCGACGGGCAAGAACATGGAGTTAATTCGTCGATTCATATTTAATCAGCGCTTTGAACTCCAGCCTCGGAGGCACGCCTTTGTATCTCCGAAATGGATGTTCCAACATTTGCTTAGAATTTAGGTGGTTACGAACTTTTTATTAAATCTTCTTTGTAATATACTTATTTGGTTGTGTTATTTATACTTCATGTATTAAAGGAAAATTATGTAAGATTTTCTATTTGTAATGTTACTATTTTGTTAATTTAAAATTATTCTAAATACTTATACCTAATTTATAGAATTTTAATACGACTTTCATATTAGTTCATTTTTGTTTGGACAACTAGTAAATCTTGTCATGTACGTATATTTTCAAATTAAGTTCAAATAAATTTTGCTTTTCTACAGATGTATATAAGGTTCTAAACTGCGTCCATTTATTGTAGGTACCTCCCTAATGCTGGCACTACAATGCAGACTGTTGACACACCGGTTGCAAAA